GCTTTTGTATTTTGATTAAATTAAGGTGCATAAGGTTTATTAATAAAAAGGGAGTTATTCTATCTTTTTATTTTTCAGAAGATCCCATTTTGAATGATAAAAGATAAAATATCATGCTTTTAATAACAGATCAGCTGGACTATTAAAAACATTTAAAAAATAATTTTTTACAAATAAGATATTTCAAAAATAAAAAAAATAAAACTCATTATGATAGTTAAGCCTAAACAGTCAATTATTAAAAAAAAGTCTATGAAATAATGAATATTCCGCTTTATTAAAAAATGTTAAAAAATATTAAGATTAATGACTCACTTCAATTTAATTATCAACCTTATTGTTTATTTCCTATATTTAATTTTTATTCTTAAAAATTTCAGGACTAAATAAATTTTAGAATTTTAACTCGCACCACTATAAATACTTCAAATTTCGAAATTGGGATTTCTTTTTGGTAAGCTTGATCCAAGGATACCCGAAATTCGGTATATTGAATAATTACAACTATTCAATTACTTTTCCTTTGTATATTATTCAACTTGATACACCTTAAAAATTCGAATAGAATCCATAAGTTATGCCTAAGTTTCATTTTATAGAGAACCTCAATGATAAAATAAGTACTTCCTTTATTGGTCGTTACTTTAAATTACGAGGTAGTGGAAGAAGTGGTAGTCGAGACACCACTTTTAGTACTGAAATATTAGCTGGTTTAACTACCTTTGTTACCATGACTTATATTATTGCAGTAAACTCTTTAATTGTAGCTGATAGTGGAGGTACTTGTGTATGTAATGCCGTGGAGGGAGCTGTTGGACCAGCTGCTATATGTGTAGGTGATCCCATTTATGAGGCATGTCAATATACAATAAAAAAAGACATCGTTACCGCTACTTGTGTAGTATCTGGTATTTCTTCTATATTAATGGGATTAGTAGCCAATCTACCAATTGGATTATCCAGTGGCATGGGATTAAATGCTTATTTTGTCTATAATGTTGTTGGGTTTCATGGCGTTGGTGGTAGTGGTATAAGTTATCAAACAGCCTTAGCAGCTGTATTTATTGAAGGTTTGATCTTTATATTATTAACAGTACTTGGTGTTCGTCAATGGATTGTTAAATTGTTACCCCAAAGTTTAAAACATTCCATGTGTGCTGGTATTGGGTTATTTTTAACTTTTATTGGTTTACAATCTTCAGCTGGTATCGGTTTAATTGGTCATTCGGCGGCTACCTTAGTTACATTAGGTGGCTGTCCAACCGATAAAATAGATCCTGTTACTCAACAATGTTTATCAAATACCATGGAATCACCTACTTTATGGATGGGTATTTTTGGCCTAATAATTATAGCTAATTTAACTATGTTTCGTTGTAAAGGGGCTATGTTATATGGTATCTTATTAGTTTCAATTATCTCTTGGTTTCGTAACACAACAGTAACTTATTTTCCAGATACAGTTAAAGGCAATGAAATGTATGATTTTTTTAAACAAGTCGTTGGTTTTCATTCTATTGAGAAAACTTTAGGTGCTTTAGATTTTTCAATGTCTCATGGTAATATCTGGTTAGCGTTAGTTACCTTTTTATATGTGGATATATTAGAAGCTACTGGTAATATATTTGCTTTAGCTGATTTAGCAAAAATTACAGATGAAGAAGGGAATATTGAAGGTGGTACATTAGCTTTCCTTTGCGATGCTATATCCATTTCAATTGGTGCTGTTTTTGGTGTACCACCAGTTACTGCTTTCCTTGAAAGTGGGGTTGGTATTGCTGAAGGTGGTAAAACTGGTATCACTGCTATTGTTATTGGTATTATGTTCTTTTTGTCTACCTTTCTAGCACCTATATTTGCTTCTTTTCCACCTTGGGCAACAGGACCTGCCTTGATTGTAGTAGGTAGTTTAATGTGTCAAAATTTAACTAAGGTACCCTGGGAACATCCAGGTGAAGCCATCCCTGCTTTCCTTACTGTTGCTATTATGCCATTTACTTATTCTATTGCTTACGGTTTATTGGCTGGTATCTTTTCGTATATTGCTTTTAATTTATTAGCTTTTATTATTGAGAAAATTTCTTTTGGTAAATTAAAAGCTACTCGTCCACCTCCAAGACCCATCTCGGAAGCTACTACTTTCTCTCTTTCACAATTAGCTCCCCCTTGGGTACCTGCTGTAACTAAAAGATATAGACAATGGTCTAATAATACAACACCTACCCCAAGTGAAGTGATTATTGAAAAACAGGACGATAATGAGGTTTGGAAATAAGCATACTTGATTATTAATTTATTAAAAATAAATATCAACGTTGAAGTTTATTACTAAATTATAAAATAATAAATCGTTGTTATTAATTTATTTAACACTTAATAGTTATTGAAGATCCAAATTTACTAAATCATCTTAATATTCTTAATAATCTTAATTAAATATGAGTTTTAATTATAAAACATTAATATAGTATCAAGTTTTTAATATTAGATCTATCAAATCAAAAGCAAGTTATAATTTGATTTATATAAACATCAATATTAAATATCATTTTATTTTCTCAATAGTATATCAAAAAGTATTCAAATATCACTCAAAAAAATACCTTCAAAACTTATTCTACTTCGCATATAAATCAAATCGCTTTAGTTGTCAACCTAACCTTCATTCAACCTTTTTATTTATGTTTTACAATTCCAATCATTTGATCAAACTCTTCCTCTATTGCCAATTTATTTAAATTTTTAGCCATCAAACGATGAGGATGACAAATAGTTAATATTTCTTCTGATTTCAAAGGTGGTGGAATTTGATAAACAAATTCTCTACAAGATAAACAATTACTAATTGGTAAAATATGTTTATTACCAAAATAGCCGGTCAAGTCTTCATCCTTCATCCTTCGATTGCTTGGCTTTAATATTGGATTCATCATTCTGTTTTCATAAGTTAAATCTTGAATATCCTTTTCTTTATTGAGCTCATCTTCTTTTTGACCATTAATATTGTTGTTATTTGTTTTAGTTATTTCGATACTTTTATTATTTTGAGTTATTAACTTATCTGCTGCTTCAATATCAACAATTACTTCTTCTCTCATTGTATTTAAATCATTATCAATTAAATTTTCTTTATTATATGAATCTTTTCCAAAAACAGTTACATCTTGGTTATTACCTTTATCAGTTTTCTTATCCTCTTGATTTACTTTAGTTGGTGTTTGGTTGTTGCTATTATTACTACTAAGTTTTAATAATTTATCTGGAGTGCGATATGATTTTACTTTAGGTTTGACCCAATTGTAAGTAGGTATGGGAAATTGAGGAACCAACTTTCTATATTTTGGTTTGTCTTCTTGATCTATAGCCTCCACTAACTTACCATCCATATCTTCATGTGTTCTTTTACCCTTTTCTTCTATATCTTCATCTCTATTAAATACTTTAATTGGTCGATTTAATTTTCTAATTAGCTTTGGATATGGATTCTTTTCTAGTTTATTTAATACATCTTCTTCAATACTATCATTTAGTGATTTAATTCGTTCGATTGAACAACGAGCTATATATAATTGATATGTATGTTTAGTAATATTACGAATATTATTATCTTTATCTGATAAAGCAAAACCAATTGCTTTTTCAATAGGAATTTGAAACTCAATTATACTTCTCTTTGTTGAAACATAAATAAAATAATCAATAAGTATAATGCAAGATTCCCTAACAAAAGTATTTGAATTACTATCTTTTAGAACCTTTAAAAATTCGAATATCATCTCTTTATAAGGAAAGCTAACTACTATGTTAGATAATGTAACATGTCCTCTTTCTCTAATAACTCGATTTTTACCCAATATTTTCAACAAAGCAGGGACGATATATGGTATAAATAATTGAAATTTTCCTTTTAAGCCTTGAGCCAATACACTGACTAAATCTTGAGTTGCTAATGATAGTTTAGTTCGATCCGTTAAGATGGAATTTTTTAAGGTTTCTACAATACTAAATAATAAATCTTTACTGTTTGGACACTCAAAATAACCTTCATCTTTGATTAAGATTGTTTTTAATAATTTCATTTTGCTCTCATATTTATCCCAATTTTCGCTATTTTCAGGCTCTTCAAATACAAGTTGACAATCTGATATGATTCGCTTTAAGTCACGGCTACGCTCTTCCATGGTCTTGGTGTGATACGACATTCTTTTTTTATAAGGAATTGAAAAGTTTTGTGTCTTGATTTTTGGCAAAACAAATCATTTAGAATTTAGAATTGATGAATTAATTTAATGATCAAATGAAATAATTTTCTGAGTTTTATTTTGAAATTTTTGTTGATATCAAGAATTTTTTACATAATAAAAATAGAGATTGAAAATTTTAGCCCTAATTATTGGCTTATTCTAAATAATTGTTTTTGTTTTTTTAGTTGCTTTTATAAACTTCAAAAAAACTTTTTTATGATTTTTAACAATATGCATTAAAACTTTATATTCTCTAGTTTGCTTTCTATTTCAAATGACCAGTGTTATGATAACCGTGGGACTAGCTGGAGTCAGGAAAAGAATAAACAGCTATGTAAACCCTGATATGCTGTTTTTAATGATGATATAACTGATGTAAATCAAAAAGCTATAAACATGTAAACAGAATATGAAAAGATTTTATATTAAAAATCCTTTTAAAATATGGTTTTATTCAAACAAACTTTGCTTTTAAAAGTTAACATAAGTAAATAAAAAAGCAAAATAAGCAGTATACTTAATAATAACTTTAGCAATAAAATAACAATAACTCAAGCACTAGTAAAAAAGATAGCATATTTAATACTATTTTCTTGGCTATTTTATTATTTTTTATTAAACAATAACTTATATTAATTTACCTGATATATTAAAAAATATCAGTATTTAATTTAAAATTATAATTAGCTATTGTTTTAAAAATACATTTAATACATTATTTTAAAGACGTAAGAAAAAAATAGTGTTTCTATTTGATGCTTCAGCCCAGGTTCGAACTGGAGACCTTCACCTTGTAAGGGTGACGTGATAACCAACTACACTACCGAAGCAACTTGTCCGGTATTTACCTACATTATTTATATTTAAAAATAATTATATAAAGATCGATCAAGGTTAAACTCCATAAGATCGATAATAAAATGTTACAACATAATAATTTGGTTAACAATATGGATTTCAACTCAGATACTAATGAAGTTTATACTCTAAATTCCAGTACTATTTTTGATAACTATTATTGTAAAGCTTATGACTTAGACCTATTATATCAATCTTCTAGTTGGAACGTTGCTTATAATAATAAGGGATAGACAATTTTAAAATTATATTCTTTCTAGTAAAAAATCAATCCGATTTCAAAAGATCTTTCCTAAATTAAAACTATAATAAAATAGTTGGCATTTTATGGTGAGCTTAGCATTATGGTCAAACTTACTGTTTCAGCTCTTAATTAGGGATCTAAATTCATTATTTTAGTCAACTAATATTCTATTAATACTTACAAAGGACTTCATGATATACCAGTAGCTTAGTTTTTAATGAAACCATTTAAAAAGAAAAGTTTCAATTTTTATACATGTGAAAAAAAAAGTTAAGTTAAAAAACCAATTATTTATCAATAGTGATGAAATACTGATATACAATAGGTTGGATGAAAAAGTTAGAATTCAATAACCAAAAGCAGTCATAAGGAAGGGTGTGACGTTTAAAAAGCATTAAAATTGTTTTTACCCCAGCCAATGATCCTCCATTTAGATCCTGCCAAAGATGTTACATTGATTAGATTAATGATATAAAAAGAAGAATAATCAATTTACATCAATTATCTTTTAAATAAAAAAGTATTTATAAAAAATGTCACAACAAATTATTGTCGTTGGTGGTGGTTTAGCTGGTCTTTCAGCAGCCCATACTGTCTATGAACAAGGAGGTAATGTATGTGTAATTGATAAAAGTGCTTTCTTTGGTGGCAATAGTACTAAAGCAACCTCGGGTATTAATGGTGCTTTAACTCAAACTCAAGTTCAACAAAAGGTACCAGATAGTGCTGAGCTTTTCTATAATGACACTCTTAAATCCGCTCGTGATCTTGCTAGACCTGACCTTATCAAAGTACTCACATACAGCTCAGCTTCTGCTGTTGAATGGCTTAAAGAACGCTTCTCTTTAGATCTTTCTTTGATTTCTCGTTTAGGTGGACACTCAGAACCACGTACTCACCGTGGTAAAGAAAGATTTCCAGGTATGACAATCACTTATGCTTTGATGGAGAAGTTGGAAGAACTTTCCAAGACTGAACCAAAGCGTGTAAAGATCCATAACAAAGCAAGAGTCGTTAAGTTAATTAAAGATTCTAATAACCAAGTTATTGGGGTTGAAGTTGAAAAAGAAGGTAAAAATTTTTCACAATATGGTCCAGTCATTTTAGCTACTGGTGGTTATGCCGCTGATTTCACTGATAACTCTGTACTCAAAAAACATCGTCCAGATATCTATGAATTACCAACAACCAATGGAGATCATTGTACTGGTGATGGCTTAAAAATGGTAATGGAAATTGGTGGTAGTGCTGTCGATCTTGAAAAAGTACAAGTTCACCCAACAGGTCTCGTTGATCCAAAAGATCCTCAAGCTAAAGTTAAATTTTTGGCAGCTGAAGCTTTACGTGGTGTTGGTGGTTTACTTATTAATGGAGAAGGTAAACGTTTTGTTGATGAGCTTCAACATCGTGATTTTGTTACTGGTGAAATTTGGAAAACAAAGGGACCAGTTCGTTTAGTACTAAATTCAGCAGCTGGTAAAGAAATTGAATGGCATATTAAACATTACATGGGCCGTGGCCTTATGTTCAAATTTGAAGGTGGTAAAGCTTTAGCTAAAGAAATTGGTTGTGATCCCTCAGTACTTGAAAAAACATTTAAAGATTATGTACGTGGTGCTGAATCAAAGAAGGATGAATTTAAAAAGAAATATTTCCATAACTATAATTTTAACATGGATGATACTTTTTATGTAGCTCACATGACTCCAGTACTTCATTTTACTATGGGTGGTGTTAAGATCAATGATCAAGCTCAAGTATTAAAAGAATCCAATCCAATTGAAGGTTTATTTGCTGCTGGTGAAGTAGCAGGTGGTATCCATGGAGCTAATAGACTTGGTGGTTCAGCTTTACTGACTTGTGTTGTTTATGGTAGAGTAGCTGGTTCTTCAGCATGTCGTTATCAATATTCGAAATTAGCATCAAACAGTGATAGTCATGCTGTCAATCGCCTAGACAATATTCGTGGTCATCTTAGTCCTAATGGTGTACAAGCTAGTGTCAATGTTAATCCAGAGAATAATAAAGTTACTCTCGAACTTACATGGCCTGGGTCATCTAACCAACAACAAGATCACAATAATGTTACCAGTGACAATAAAGTCGATGTAGATACAATTAATGTTGGTGAAGAAAAAGGTAGAAAAGAAGAGGAAAGGAAATCAGGAGGAGATAAAAGTATATCACTTTCTGAAGTGAATCAACATAATAAAGAGGATGATTGTTGGGTTGTTGTCAATGGACAAGTGTTAGATGTTACCAAATTCATGCATGATCATCCAGGGGGTAAAAAAGCGATCTTATTGTTCGCCGGTAGAGATGCTAGTGAAGAATTTAATATGTTACATAAACCAGACGTAGTTCAAAAATATGCCCCAGAAACTGTATTGGGAAAACTTATTAATTAAGGCTAAATAAATATACTATTTTTATTTTAAAAGTGTAGAATTTTTATTGCTTTTATTATTGATATTTTTAAAAAGTTTGAATTTTTTTGAGTTAAATAAATGCCAAGTTTGTAAAATTTTAATGATGTGGCCTATTTGATGAAGTTTAAATTATCAAATGTGTGAAGAATCAATTTTATCTTTTTTAAAAAATTAAAAACAAACATTCAAACAATGACTTCAACAGAATGGACTGAGCTGACAAAGGAGAGTAAAAAATTAACACGAGAAATTGAACTTAAATTAAGTAGTATCAATCAGTTTTATTTAAAAAAAGAAAAGGAAGGGGAAGAAATAGGCAGTAGTAATTCAAATTTCAATGAAGAAGAAGAAATGGAAAAAATAAAACAAAAGATGGAACAAGTAGGTAGTTTGATTTTAATTTCCTAACTTCAATCTTTAAAATTATAATTAACGATATATTAAATATTGGTTATATCTATCTAATTCCTGATCTTTCTAAATTTTAGTTGGATCAATCACTCACGATTATGGAACAAGATTTAAGTTTGAATAATAATGGACAAGATAATCGAGGTTATTTAGTTAAAAGAAGTCGAGAGAAATACATTAATTTTTCAAGACAATTAGAACGAGTATCAGTAAGTTAATTTTATTTTGAATTCTCAATAAAAGAAAAAGAAGAATATTAAATTTTTAATTAATAAAAAAGAAGCAATTAATCTAACTTTTATTTAATTTTAATTAGAAAAAAGCTGTAGAAACTTCCACAAGAAATGAATTATTTTTAAAGTAAGTTTTAAGTAAAATTAATTATCAATATCTCATTATCAAATTAAACCTCACTTAATAATCCTATTAATAATAGTAAAAAACCATTATCTGCTAGAGAACGTTTACAAGGCATTGAGAATGAAAATGAAACGGATTACTTTTTAGGAGAAAGAGGAGTGATCGATAATTCATATGAAATGACAGATGCTACTTTAAAGTAAGTAGTTTATTATTATTATTATTATTATTATTATTATTATTATTTAAAAGTTAAGAGATATATATTAAATATAGGAGTTGGGAATAATGTTTTTCAATTTTTTTTTATTGATTTATGATTAACATATATATTAATAGTCAAGCTTTTGCTATTCGTAATGAACTAAGTGAACAAGGTCATTCTATTTTAAATTCTACTAATAGAGTTGGAGGATTAATAAGTATGCTTTAGTGTTTATTTAACAATAACATTTATTTATTCATTAAATTTATTTTAATTTTTTATAGATAGTTTACCCAGTATCAATGGCATTATTAATCGAATCTCAATCCGTCGACGAAGAGATACCTTAATTTTAGCTTTTGTTATTGCATCTGGTATCTTTTTTCTTTGGTTTGCTTTATTTTAATTTAGTTCAATAATACATATAACAAATATATACAAAATCCTCATTTTTATAAACTTTAATAAAAATAGTATAAAATAAATAATAGTTATAATTTTAAATGCTGACTTATTTTACTTATAAAAATGTCAAGATTCTCTCTTCTAAGATTTTAAGCCATATCTAATTCTACCCTTGGTGCGAAAGTAGAATAAACAATTCCTTGTTTTAAATAAAGATCCAATTGTTCTTTTAATTGTGGAGAAATTATATTTAATGAAGCATTTGTTGCTAAATTATTGATAATGGAATATTTCCATTTCTACAATTCAAAATAAAATATTAATAATTATTTTATATCTTATTAAAATACATATTCATATATTAACTTACCAATCCTTCTAATTCGGATTCCATATTACGATCTAATAATTTATCCATACTTTTTTTATCATTCATTATTAACTAAATAAAAATAATATATATATTAATATTTATATTTATATTAATTTTATATACATAATATAAAATAGTCATTAATTTACCTCACAACCAAAACGATGTAATGAGATAGTATATAATAATCGATAAGCAGCAATTTTAATTTCTACACTTGGATTTGAACAATATCTTAATATATCAAATGGTATTTTTAAATATTCTATAAAATTAATAATAAACTTAATGAAGTTATTAATATTATTATAAATTACCTTGTAAATAATCAGTTAAAATTTCACAACCAGCAGATAGTTTTTCATTTGGTTGTTTACTATTTGTTTAATTAAATATTAATATAATTATATACATTATTATTTTATTATTACTTACTCAACCCCAAAAATACTTGACAAACAATTTAAACCAATAATTCTAGCATCTCCCACCAAATAAAAAAAAGCGTTAGCTAATAATTTCATTAATGAGTGATTATTAGTTAA